CATCCACTACGCTTCAGTGGATGGAGAGGAAATTGCATCCCCCATACACAGGGACAATTGCACCTTGGCTTTGCACCATCTCCTTGCAGGGCTGAGCTGCGTGTGGGCAGCAGGATGGGTGTAACTCCCTGCCCACCCCAGCTCCAAGCTGTCCACAGCTGCCAGTGCACCCTACAGAGCCTGGCCACGGTTTGCTGTGAGCCCCAGGAATGTCAAGCCTTGGCAGCGTGGCAGCCAGGGGCTGCCCTGTGCTGTAAACACCCTGCGGCAGTGCCCCAGGGCTGGCAGCACCCCCCACCCCAAGCTGGCTGCACGCCACCGCACCCCCCCAGCGCTGGCTGCAGTGTGCCCCAGGGCCACCCGCTCCGCTCACCGTAGCAGAAGGCGATGCCCAGGCACATGAAGAGGGTGACAATGATCAGCCCAAAGCCAGTGCTGTACGTGTCAATGAGGGTGAACCAGAAGATACCTCCCTGTGAGGTGGAGAGGGACAGGTCAGCGCGGCTCGGGGCAGCGCGGGGTGGGCGCAGGGCACCCCATGCCATGGACACCATTGACGCCAGGGCCCACGCACAGCCCTCCATCCTCCCGCCTCAGGGCTTGGGCAGAGATTGGAGGGGAGAGGATGCTGTTCCCCAACCTCCATCCTGGCATCACCCCAAGGGTGCTGGGTGCCGCTGGATGGGGATGCAAGGGATCCCATACCTGGGTGACCAGCAGGAGCCCCAGCAGGTAGAAGGCGGTGCAGAGTGCACCCAGCAACGCCGTCTTCCTCCTCCAGTCACGCAGGGCTGGGAACTCATCCAGGATGGCTGTGGTGATGCCCTCAATGTTCCCAAACTGAGGGACGGGAGAGATCAGTGGGGGGGATGTCCCGGTCCCCGCCTCCCCCCAGACTGGATGCAGGGGATGGTCCTCACAGAGGGGACTTTGCAGGGCACTGTCCCCATGTGCATCCCCATCCCTGTGACACCTGGGCACATGGAGAAACCCATGACCGGTGCCACTGGAATGTGGCTGCATCCCTGCCCCGTCGCCCTGCATGCAGCCCCCCGGTGGGATGATATGGCTACATCCCTGCCCGCCACCCCGGGTCACAGCCCCGCATGCATGGGGACATGCACAGCCCCTACCCCAGCACCATCCTCATGCTCCTGGCCCATGCACGTCATGCCATCTCCATGCCCGAGATGGGGTGTACCTGGCACCCCAAGGCCAGGCACGAGGCAGGACTTGGGGCTGCCCGAGGAGACAATCACCAAAGTGTCCACTCCCAGCGTGAAGAGCATCAGGAAGAAGAGGATGGACCAGAACGGGGAGCCGGGCAGCAGGGAGAGGGCTTCGGGGTATGCCACGAACGCCAGCCCAGGGCCTGCGGGGTGAGATGAAGGGAAGCGTGAAAGGACATGCCGTGGTGAGATGGGCCAAGCCCAGCAAGCTGGTAGCCAGGCTGGATGTGAGCTCGGTTGCAGCCCCGCGGCCCCATCCCTGTGCCAGGGCACCAGGATGTCTCCTGGCACGGCACAGGTCCCCCCTCCCCAGGCCCACACCTGAGTCGGCAACGCTGCCCACAGGGACTTGCTTCCTCCAGGCCATGTGTCCCAGCACTGAGAAGATGGCGAAGCCAGCCAAGAAGCTGGTGCAGCAGTTCCCGATGGCAATGACCAAGGTATCCCTGCCGGGGAGGGCGTCACAGCCCCACGCCCGTGGGGTAGGATGGAGAATGGGGGCATCCCAACGGGCCGCACAGTCCCATGGGGCTCAGACCTCCCCATCACTGCCCTGCTCCTCCCCAGCCACGGCCGCAACCCGTGGCTGCCCCCACAGCCCGCGCCCCCCCACGGC